TGGTGCTGATTTAACAGTGTTTTGCAGCGGATTTTATATTATTATGACTAGTTTTGTGATCACATAAATGACTACATTAAATGTTTAAGTTTTCGCACAAAGTTTGTTTTATGTCCGAGTACTACAACACCATCAGTCAAAACGTTTGAAGTGTTTGTTAAAGTAAAACTGCATATTTTTTATTTGTGTATTGTTGCATTTCTAAGGATATTCATAGTCTTTCTTCTTTTTTTAATTAAAGTTAATCTTCTTCAAACCCAAAGATCACAAACTAAAGGAAATGGATACATTTTTAACGAAATATCTTTATCATAGTTGTAAAGCTTGAGGGTTTTTTCTTTTGATATTAAGAAAGTTTACATCAGTACATCAAAGAAAAGATAATCTTACTTACAGATGTGTTTCTAATCTATCTAACTTTTTTGGTGGAATTAAAATTTGCAATTTTGTTTAAAAAATCAACTTAAGCGTTGCTTTTTTTTCTTCCTTTTTATAATCAGAAATTTTCATTTAAATGCTGATTTATTTTTAGAGAATTGTTGAGATTACTATACATTTACTCAGTTTATTTACCTAGGACTTACTTATAACTTCTGGTTATTGTGTATAAACAATCTTTAGTCAAATTTAGATGTAATAAAGCAATGCATTCAAGAGTAATAAGAAAATACACGGAAAACTTACTTAAATGTTATATCATTCAAACTTTTTCACTTGTAATGCTAGCTTGCTATAATAATACCAAAGTTGATATTTAAGTCAAAAATGTCTCTCAATATGATTATAATTTATATTATCGTGGTCATTAAACAGTTTTACATTTAACTTCTCTACAATATGTGTTAACTTTTTCTGAATTATCATGCATTCGTGTAATTAGTATTCATTAAATACATTTTCACTATAAAATTAAGAAAAACATGTATCTTTTGCAAAATTCAAGATATGAACTTATATGACAGATATTACTCTTTAGCTAACATATAAATAACTTGACGCGTTTTATGATCTGATGTTATTGTAAAACTTGATATTGAAAAGTAACATATGGGTACTATTTTATTCACGTAAAGGCGTACATATTTATATCAATTTGTAAAAAAAACAATAACAAAAAGCAATACTTTGCTAGTTTAAGAAATACATACATTTTGAATCAAGTTGTTTATCAATATTATTGTGATTTACATACAAATATGAATCATGCTGGTTATCATTATGTGATATACAATATTGTCACTGTTGCATTTTTTCCAGTCTAATTATAGTGTATTTTTTCCAGTCTATTAATAATGTATTTTTTCCAGTCTAGTTAAAGTGTATTTTCATTTTCTGCGTGATATCTTTAATTAGAGGCATATAGGTTAAAGTTTTACTATAACTTTCCATAATTTTCCATGCGATGAATTTTTAAGTCAAATCAGATAATGAAGTTAATTTATCTCGAATGATTTGATATGTAGATATGTAATAATTGTAAATAATTTCATATTAAATGTAAGCAATGCAATGTTATATCGTAAAAAATTGCACTCTTATTGAATCATAGAAAAAAGTCGGGTTTTCACTGGATCTTTTGTTTTTTAAAGAAAAATTATCGAAAGTGTTTGTATAAGACAGTAATAGACACCTAACTGTAGTGTTATTTTCAGTTTAGTTTGTAATTTTTGTTTATTATTCTATATTTGTTTACTTAATGTCTCAACATTTTAAAATAGTGTAATATAAGTTATGTAAAACTTGAATTACGCACGAAATTTCCGTTCACTGTAACAAAACGAGTATCATAGATTGACGAAATAAGAAAGGGGTTCCGAATATTTGCAATAATTAGTTTAGAATATGTATGAAATGACAATATATTTTTGTTGAATTTGTTATTTTTCCGCTGGTCAAAAATTGGTCTATTTGTAGGTTTGAAAGAATCTTTTTGGATATGATTTACATGTGCGAAAGAAAGCTAAAAAACCCCGTTTACTGTCTGGCATATTAACATATCGTTATCAATACACACGACAAGCTGTTATGCCGTTTCTTAAAACGCCATACGTATGCCGTAAACATGAAATAATGAACTGCGATATTGGATAAGAAAATAGTCCCGAAAAAGCAAAGAAATCATCTGTCTTAAGCGTTTTCATTAACCCTACGACCTCCAGAAAATAAGGAATTTATATGCCATATTTTTCCAAGCGTTGAATGCAGTTAAATTAACTTGAATGATTTGATTGAATGGAAATAAAGATATTAAAATTGGACTATTTGTAGCTTTGAAAGAATACATTGCATATTTTTACGAGTATTGTGCTTAAAATGCAGCAACTATGAGAATGACAAGTTTTAGCGATTTGTTTGAACTTTTATCATCACTCGAGCACATTCGTTCGCATGACGATTATTTAGACATTTGAGCCGTGTCACGACAAAACCAACATAGTGGGTTTGCGACCAGCATTGATCCAGACCAGCCTGCGCATCTGCGCAGTCTGATCAGGATCCATGCTATTCGCTTTCAGTTTCTCTACTTGTTATAGACTTTGTAAGCGAACAGCATGGATCCTGATCAGACTGCGCGGATGCGCAGGATAGTCTGGATCTATGCTGGTCGCAAACGCACAATGTTGGTTTTGTCGTGACACGGCTCATTTCTCTTCTTGTATTTCCTTCTGCCTTTTTTAAAAAAAAAATGATTATCTGAAGCTGTTTTACGTTAACGAATTGGTCCGAACGTTAAACGAACGAGAAATAAATTACAAAAAAAAGTTTTCTACATTTATCATCAGAGCTTTCAATTTCCTCACCATTGACGTTGATCGCGTGTTAACCCTTTGTTTATGTATAATTACTAATGAACATACAGTATAAAGGTGATCTTTATTGGACACATAAAGAATTTTGTGTGGCCGTAAAACCGTCCGTACTTGTAACACTGAAATTGTTATGTTTACATTTATTGAGTGCACTTCTTTTTAGTTTCGAATAAATTATTATGCAGAAATAATATGACAAAAAAAATTAGAGTAGCCTTTTTTTGCCTTTATGAATGCCACGCTATGTTGTTAACAGTTTAATTAAAGAGTAATAAAAAACAGAAATGACCGTTTGTTTAGCCTTAAAGTTTATGGAGGCAATATTTGTTTAATGTTTAATAAGACAAAGTAATTTCAAGCCAGCCTGGAGGATGCAATATTTCTTGGTGTTATATTCTAAGAATAGAACAACACCATTTTATGTAATATCAAAATTAAAAAATGTTCATGAATATGCGTATTATGTAAAGGGAAATAACTCTTAATTGTTTACACGCGCATTAATACGAGCAGTGATTTATAACGCATGAGTTGCATCATCATGTAATAATAATTCAACTGGAACTATTTTTGAATGTGCGATCAGATTTTAGGAGTCTCCATTTTATGATTTTGAAAGAGGTGTGTGAAGAAATATAATCACTATATTTTATTGTCGTTATTGATTTAAAAAATCATTAATGATGCATAAGCTGTTGAAAACCATCTAGTTAACCTATTGAAAATAAGTGCGTTAGGGTATCCTGATATATGATTACGTCATTTACATTTTTACAGAATAGATTGGGAAATATTGTAAATACGGATAAATCCGGGATATATAGATGCTGCAAAGATAAGTACAAGGTTGTGAAAAAGGGTATCTTATAGCTCTTCTACAGAACTGACAACTTCTGAAACGATACATTTTTTAAATGGTACAAAATAGTTATTAAATCTTCTTATATTTAATGAATGATGTCTTTATTTTATACTTGCATAAACAACAACAACATACCAGATGTTACTTAAGCAAAATCAGTAAATAAAACTGCATATTACGTAAACATGTCATACAAAAAAGTTCAAACAAAAGTTTTCATCATTTCGGTCTGATGAAAATTAAACATGTTAAAAAATTTCTTTAATGTATTTACATCACATAGATTACTATATGGGCTTTTTATCATAAATGTTGCTTTATTAATATGTTTTTTTCGGATGATTTTTATATAGAACTGTGTAGTTTTATTTTTTCATCTGTTTACATGATGTGATACATAATCTATAGAATGCAAATCATAATATAAGTGACCAAGAAAAATCTTTCGAATAGTGTAAAGTTACGGACTAAGTTCTTAAAAGAGGTACACCAATGTGTTTTTATAAACTAAAACATGGCACTGTCGTGTGGAAAAAAAAACACAACAACATTAACGAGTAAAGACAGTAAATTTTGCCAAATTTATATAAATGTTTTGATTATTGAAAACTTTAACATACTAAATACACATAAAAGATAATATATTGAGTTCAAGGGAGTGGGGGAATGTGTTATTTAAGCTTATGTACAATTTTTCTGCTACAAAAATGTATTGTTTTTTTTTAAAGGGGGTCTCAAATGATATTATGTAGTGAATTTGTATATTATCACTTTTCTGGGTTTTTTTCCGTAATGGTGTATCCTGAAAGTTGTATAGCTACATGCTGATAATAGTTGTTGTTATTGTTGTTTTAGACAAATAAAACAGTGTTCTTTAACAAGAACAAATATTATTTTCATTTCTTCTTAAATCAGTTCAAAGTGCATATCTGATATTTTTAATCATATAAATATATTATTCAATGTAGGTTATATAAATACGAAACATATATTTCAGAATAAAAAGAAGAAAAAACAACATGAAATTATCATTTATAAGAATAATTGAAAACAAAATAGTCCGCGAACTTTATTCAAATTTTCAATGCGCTTTACTTTTTTACGAAAGAGATAAATTGTATAATGTTTCAAAATTGTGTCATGAAAGATTTTTATTGGTATACTTTGTTGAGATTGCGAATCGTTTAAGCGTTACATATCAACCATTAGGCCTCCCATGCTGCTTACATTGCCGTGTAATAATCGCGCAGTCATCTGCCTGTCTAGCTAGTTGAAATTATCCAATCACAAAACGGCTTACATCTTCGCTTAGGCGACCATTTTATATTATTTATTTTCTAAGCAAAGTGCCGCAGAGATAGTTTTGGAATGACTTTATTACTAGATATAAGAGATGGTATATGAAATTTAGTATCGGACTGTTAACTAGTTGCTTTTTGGGATTAATGATCATTTACTTTCTTCCGTTTATGCAAATGACTCGGGTGATTTAAACACACATTGTTTTATTGACGAGTAAGTGTAAACAAATTTAATTGTAACGTATTGTTTATTCTAGGTTAAACGTTTACCACGGAGATGAGGAATATATAGCTCTTTATTGAAAGGAGTGTGTCTTGTCCAGAAGAAATTTGCGGTTTGATATATATAGGGACTTAAACACCAATCGTTTGACCTTTGATGAATGTGTATATTTCGTATATATAGATGGTTAAAAACGACATTAAAACGACAAACTGATGGTTGTTTTACGGCGTAGTGATTAGACTTCACAAGACGGCGTAGTGTTTGAAAGTGTGGTACATGACGAGTTGTTTTCTAGCAACTCATTTCTCGCTACAAAATCTTAAGACTCGAGCGAAGCGTTCTCTGGGAGGCTGGAATAATTTATTACCTATCTCTACCACAGTATTTTACTGGCTCGTGAAACAAACTGGCTCCAGGAGACTTGAACTATTCGAGCGCAGTTATTTGTAGTTTATAGCATACAAGTTGTGTAATTTGCTTTAAGTATAAGTGTCTGAATTCGTTCTTAAGTTGGAACTTTGCTTTGAAAACGGATTTTATGTTTCATCAGGAAAAATCAGATCAATTTACATTCAATTTTCACGGACCTAATTGTTTGATAAAACGTCAGAATTCACGGCGTTTTAGATAATTTTAATTGAAAAACATTTATCTCTCTTTGATGATTTTCTAATTGAGATATCCGAAACAAGAAACACAGAAGAGATTTCAATATTTAATTAATGGTTCTCTATTAAGCATGACCGCTATGAATCCATACGCGTTCCGTGGGTGGCACTTGCCGTCGTATGCCGACGGCGCGGCGAATTACGAGAGAAACTATCATATGTACGGATCTTTACCGTCTGGATATTTTCCGTCATCGTCGGTATACCCTTTCAATCCGGAGAATAATAAACAGCATAATGGGGATTGGAAATTACAGAGTTCGTCCGTGTGTTCAACATCTTCCGACGGGTCGCCAAATAACTTACGGGATCAGAGTTTACCGAAGCCCGGCGGCTATGACAGTATATACAAGCCAAATACATGTAGAAATGCGGACAGTACGGACGAACATCAGCGTTCATGTTGTGCTTTGTCGTGTTCGTGCAGCAGTTCACAGCAGAGACTGCCCATGCTGAATAATTCCTGGGCCGGAGCCGATTTGAGCGGGGCCCTGGACTTCAACAAAACAACCATGGCAATGTCATCAATGACACCGTATCAGTCACTCTGTAACAGAGGTAGGTTCGAAACCCTTTGAATATATTATCATCATTGATATTTAATTACAAAAATTAAATTAATTTCAGTGATTTTTCTTCTTTTAAGTTCAAGATAAAAATAATAAAAAACCCATCTTAAACTGTCACGTTTTTAAAAATAAAACCGGTATTGTGTTTCCAAATATGATAAATAAAACAAGTGGAAAAGGCAAACTATTTAATAGTTCAAACTTACTATATAAAAAGATAAAAGGGATAAAAAAAGAATTTTTAAAAAATAATCATAGTTTTCTAATTTAACATCTGTCAAGTAACAAACATAAAAAATCGATTCAACAAATAATTTAAATACTCAAGAATACTTTTTAAAAAATCAACCGGATTTGTATAAAGGTTTTCATAATAATTCATTAAATAATACACTATAAACATGTATATTAAATGTTGGTCTGAGTTTTGCGGTGTATCTTATTTTATCTTTTTTTCATCTTTACTTTTGGTGATGGAGTGACATATATTTAGACACTATTTATTATGCCAGAGCGGTTTAATTTTTATTGTTAAACAAACAAACCCGACCTACACCTGCTAACGGCATGTCACTAGGCGATGACCAAACTGTCAGTCTGTAATATAACATACAGAAGAGAATGTCCACCAAACGTAACAAAGGTCCTTAATTAAAATCATATAGAAAATAATAAGGTTATATGCATGTAAAATAGAAAAACTGTATTTCAAACAACGTGAAAGCAATTTTTCTTCAGCTTTATTTAATTGCAAAATTACAAGGTATAAATTAATGAAAAACTGTATACATTTGCTTCAATTTCCAACATGTTTTATTTGATTTGTATTGTATAAAAGTACTGGTGTCCTAACTCATAAACAGGATATGGCTTAAAAAACATCTTGGGAGAGAGAGAAAAATTAATGCAAAACATTTTTGTAAAACCAACATTTACAAAAATTCAAATTACGAGATAGATTTGAGCTACTTTAATATGATATATGTCAAATTGTTGGTTACATAAAAATCTAAACCCTAAAGCAAAAGGGGAAAAAGCTGTATACCTCATTTATACATGACATTAAATTTTGTGATTAAGATGTTTAAAATACACATTATTTATGATATAATCATTGTTGAAAGCGGCCCGCCGCTTACATCAAAATATTTCATATTAATATGTTCCCCCGTAACCTTAATTCAACGCGTAGATTATTGTTTATTAATAACTTTATGTGCATAAAAAGCATCAGCACTCACCCTTAGCCCTTACATAAAATCAAAAACATATTTAGGTGTATGAGGTATAATAAATTTCTCATTAATTTTGAAATCGGAGTTTGATTAATACGACAAATTATGAATATACAGACAGATGTAGCCCCCAAAAAGCTTCATTTTTATTCTCCTTAAAATTAATTTGCTAACTATTTACATATTAAATCTTTGATATTAGGATATTCAGTAAAACATACGTTTAAAGACTCCTTTTTTGTATCATAAACTAATTAAAATTGTAGATAAAAATTGAATGCAACATGGATTTAATAAATGCTAAAATGTCGATTTTTTTTAAAAAGAAAGAAAACAAAAGAAAAACAACTCAATTCCATATTATGATTACGAATGAAACAAATTTCAATTAATTTAAGCGCGAAATTGATTAATTCGACAAAGCAAAACACAGCAGTTAAAATATTTCAAAATCACTTTTATTTGGGATCTCATAACTTTATGGTTTAATCCTGTTTTAGTAATGGTGTGAGAGAAAGAGAGATAGAACCATCCTACTAGTTAACCCTTAACATGTTAAATTTGTGTAAGTGATTTGAGCAGCTTTGAATTTGGCAATGTTCATTCAAATTTTAAGTGAATTTTATAGAATACTTTATTCAGAAGTAAGACCTGATATGTCCATCATTTTACATATCTAAATACATTAACAAACAAACAGTTGTAATATCTAAATTTCATAAATCAAGTATCACCACAATGGCTTGTTTAAACAGTAAATAACAATTGTAGGTAACAATATGATCTTATTTCTTATTATCGTACAAGCAGTATAAATCTTGGTAAGACTTAACGTAAGTTCAGACTGGCATGGCTAAATACAAGTACATCCGTTTTCAATAGGTTTAGTGTTAATATTTTGATATACTTTAAAATTAAATTGTAACAGTTACTTGATGTCAGATGAAGCTAAAAGAAAGAAAGAAAGAAAGAAAGAAAAATTTAATGCTTCATTCAAAATATTATCTTCTTCAAGTCATTTTCGTGAATGAAATGAGTGAATCGCTATAGTTTACTGTATTTATAGGAGTCTAGAATTAAAAAAGGGTGGTTGACTGTTTTAAAGGAGGCTTTTGCAAACTTATTTTGGTAAAATCTTAAAGATTCCTTCAAAAATGTTTGTACTTTGTGAAATACCTACACATATTAACTTTTTATACAGAAAAAAGTAATGGATCCTGTAAAAATTATGTTCATAATGCTTTAAATAAAAACACTTAACATTTAATGCATATACAAATGGATTCAAGTCTACGTCAATATGTGTGATAATTTATCTCTATTTTTCCATGTGGATGATTAGCAGGACAAAGTGAAATAAAACACTCATAAACTTCACATAGGGTCATCTATGCTGTCATAAATGTGTATCGGAACAAATGCGTGTAATTGTAATAAAACAAAAACGTTGTGACATCTACGCCTTGCCGCACTCCTGATATAGTACGAAATAATACAGATATCTTAGTTCAAATAGTCAATGTTTGTAAAAAAACAACAGTTTTTCTTGGTATGTCAACTAGTACAAAATCTTTTGCTGCCCATGTTTTTTTAATATTACTATTCAGGCATTATTTAGTGGTACAGGCGTCCGAAACAAAGGAAAACAAACAGCTAATCGTCGTTTGCATTCATTTGTTAGGACAAATTACTTTCCTGTGCATTTAAAGGTAAATTAAAGTTTATGATTATTTGCACTAGGCAAAAGCATTGACATTTGAATTAATTTACACTTTTTCAGTTTATAATTGAATAAATTCCCAAGCTTTTTCATTTGAGATATCAAATTTAAAGTACTTATTTGTAAAATTGATTCACTTTACTTTTTTCTTAACAACACTTTATTTCGTACCTTATTTAGCGATATTTATCCATGTTTGGTGAAATAAATTTTCATTTATTCGTTTACTTAAAACACTTTTATGACGATAAAAATGATTCTGTCAAAACGTATTTGATGACACACATGAACAATCCCTATGACAACAGTTGAAATAATTTATGAAAAAAAAGTTCAAATTGTTTGCTAATGTATATGAATACTTAAAAAAACGAGCACATGGCGTATTTAATTGTGTCTTTGTCAATGTGAAGTTTAACTTTTTCTTTTAATCTTTTCTTATATCATCCGGCAGAAAATTGTAAGGAGAATAGAAGATAAATCAGACCGGCGTGAAACCTGATAAACCTTTTTCAACAAGGTTGTTCAGTCAGGTTTTATTGCGTTCGCGGGGTTAAGGACAATAATAATGTGCTGAATCCAGACATCGCAAAGCTTTTTCATAATCTTTATTTCGCATCTTGGCATAAAAACCTGCGTTTACGACTGTAACGCTGAAACTCCAAAGCGCGCCTCAATTTGCGAAAGAACATCTAAAGTCGTCTTTTTAAGAGTATATACTTACAGTCCCCTTAAGAGATGTGCCTTGCAGTAGTATGAATCCTTTGTTAAAAATATTAATAATTTTTCACTTGAAAATCAGGAAAAGTGCAAAATTTAAAATGTCCTATGAAAGGTCTTGTTGGGCAGGAGGCTGAACTTCAATCTGCTTTCCACTATGTATGTCACAAAAATACTAACTAATAACTAAATTATTATTTTTCAAAACTATCCGTTTGAATATTTTTTTCGCATTTGTTGAAAGTTATTTATGATACAAAAATACAGCTTAAAAGCATACACTGAAGAAAAGTTTATATAACTGCCTTTTCAAGTTTTTCTCTCTTTGTATATTTATATATTCAAATTCTTTTAGTGATTTATATACACGGGTTTTTGACAATCTTGCTAAACTGAAGTGAAAAGTCATTATTTTAGAGACAATACACTAGAATATTCACTGGGTCTACCTTGGGGATTCCAATTTCGTCTTGGAAGTAAAAAAATCAGAAGTTGCAATATTTATAATATTATACTTTGATTTATTATCTTCTCTAAATTTGCCCGGAAAAATGTTATGAGGGAAAACTTCAAAGCCAGCAGTTGCCAGTAATCAAATAAATGTCGCTTGGAATGATCTACTATGACGGCACATTTATAAAATATAGGGAGTAAAGTAGCCGACAATTGTAGCTTGTACGGATGTGGGAGTAAAAATGTGCACTTAGAGGAACGGTATGCTTGAGCGCTACAACCTAACTAACTGTATGCCGTGATGTAAGCTAAAACCTCAAAAGCTGCTAGACATTAAAAGAATTATTATAGCTTCGACTGAAGCAATATTATTAACATAAATCCAAATGCCTTCGGCATAACATACGAACTAAATCATTATCAGCCATAAAAATGCACGAGAAAATGCATAAAACAGAATATGAAATATTAACAAGAAGCAAAAAAGTAAAGATATAAATTTCATAAATTTAACATAAATGTAAACACTCTTTCAAAAGGGCCTTATCTTGACATGTTTTACTGGTTATGTCGATATATCAAGAGAGCTGAAATTTTATCATTCATTTTGATGATGATCACTTAAAACTGACTACTGAAAACAGTATTTTGCGCATTTTTTGCTCTTTTCTACTCACTTTGTCATCGTCTTCATGTTGCTTTATTTCCAATTTTATATCTAACGTTACATCATGTATTAAGTGGTCACATGCGAGTCATCTTGAGATACCTAAGCCCAATTCCTGTATTTAAATGTCAAATATTATCACGCTACAGACTGTTTCGGGACAAATTCTAACATAGCTTATTACATTGTTGGCC